TGTGTGTGTGTGTGTGTGTGTGTGTGTGTGTGTGTGTGTGTGTACAGCTTGGGTTTGTTGATTAAATATAATTATGTATTTCTCTGTGTGTGTGTGTGTGTGTGTGTGTGTGTGTGTGTGTGTGTGTGTGTGTGTGTGTACAGCTTGGGTTTGTTGATTAAATATATTTATGTATTTCTGTGTGTGTGTGTGTGTGTGTGTGTGTGTGTGTGTGTGTGTGTACAGCTTGGGTTTGTTGATTAAATATATTTATGTATTTCTGTGTGTGTGTGTGTGTGTGTGTGTGTGTGTGTTTCTTTTGTGAATTACCTCCTTTGTTTGTAGTTGTGTTTTGCTTTCTTGTTTCTGAAATTACTTTATATTTTGTATGTTTTATTTTGTGTTTGTTTGTATGTTTGTATGTTCTGTGTTGTATTTGTGTGTTTTCTGTTGTATTTTTGTTTTATATTGTATTTGTGTTTCGTTTGTGTTTTCTCAAATGTAGTAATGGACTTTTCGCATTACCATGTATAGACACATTATCCCACTTCCTACTCACACACACACACACACACACACACACACACACACACACACACACACACACACACACATGTTGATTAGGCTTCACAGTATGTCATCGATACTTACAGTACATCAAAGGCTTAAAATCTACGAAAACTAAACTTTAAACCCAATAAGACTAAACCTTAAAACTTACACACTAAACCTTGGAAAACAAAACCGTATGATAAATCAAAGTAAACCTTAAAGCTTGCGTGTGGAACTGGATATTAAAACCAACAAAACCTTAACCTTAAGCACGAGACTAAACCTTAAGACTTATACAACTAAATCTTAAAACCTGGGAATCTAAACCTTAAAATCTATCGAACTAGACCTTAAAACCTGCAACACAAATTCCCTAAAACCTATTCATTTAATTCCCGAAGACCTATTGAACAAAGATCGTAAATCCCTTGAAACTAGATATTTAAACCCTACGAGACTAAACCTCAAAAACCATGAAACTAAACCTTAAACCTTACGAGAATAAACCATAAACCCTCTGAAACTAAACCTTAAAACCAATGAAACTAAGCTTTAAACCCTACGGAACTAAACCTTAAACCCCATGATACTACACCTTAAACCTTACGAAACCAAACGTTAAACCCCACGAAACTAAAACTGAAACCCTATGAAACTAAAACTGAAACCCTATGAAACAAAACTGAAACCCCTATAAAAAAACTTAAACCCAACGAAACTAAACCTTAAACCCCATGATACTACACCTTAAACTCTACGAAACCAAACCTTAAACCTTACGAAACTAAACGTTAAACCCTATAAAACTAAACTTTAACCCCTAAAAAAAAACTGAAACCCTACGAACCTAACCTTAAACCCTACGAAACTAAGCGTTAAACCCTATGACACTAAACGTTAAACCCTTGCAAACTCGTCCACTACAACCAGGATATCAGCAACTAGAAAATCCCAAGGTAACATGCACCTTATGACAGGAGTACATCAGGGCGATTATCCCTTAGTGAACGACAAGTTGTAAGGTCAAATTCTTCAAAAACTCGTACGTTATTTTTTTTTTCGTTATCTGCGAGACTGCGATTAACTGACTTCAACTTAAGCTACGAAAAAAAAACAGCTATCAGTTAAAATGCCGTTTACGAATTGGTATTGAGGATTCTACTTTAAATAGATTCTGTTTTTCATTCTCAGTTAAGTAAAGGAGTTTGAGAATTTGAGGAGTCATGGTTTTAGAATCTAAAAGGTGAAGGTCTTAGATTCCTGCGTTGTGCAGCAGTGAGAATCATGAATTGTGGAGCTCGTAAGAATCCTTAGTGATAAAGCTTTGATAATTGTAAAGTGGCCTGCATGATAAAGCTTTGATAATCATAAAGTAGCCTGCATGGTAAAGCTTTGATAATTATAAAGTGGCCTGCATGTTAAAGCTTTGATAATCATAAAGTAGCCTGTATGATAAAGCTTTGATAATCACACAGTGGCCTACATGGTAAAGCTTTGATGATCATAAAGTGGCCTTCATGGTAAAGCTTTGATAATCTTTTGAGTTACCGAGCTCTAAGACTCTACAGTGATAGTACTAAGAGGGCCGTCTCTGCACCCCTCCTCTCCTCCCTACCTCTACTGTGTTTTCACATTCCTCTAGCCTTCCCCATTCCCACTAGAGGTCCAGCCACTATTGTTTCTCCTCGCTGTAGTGGAGTTTTTATGTTAGTGATGGGCGGCCGCGGAATACTGAGCATATCAGATACCATTTTGGTAGCTTGTACTCGTGTTCAAGCTTCTGGAAAGGTATGCACATTATTTCCTAGGATTATTATGTTCCTTATCTCACTCAGTTCGACCGTAAAATCTCGCGTTTATAATTCAAGTTAGAAGATGTAGTATTCTTGCCCGGGTAAAGTGTCTCGGGTCCTGTGTCTCTTTTGTTTTTTTGTGATCATTTAAGGGGTAATATATGCAATCAGGGCCAGGGGTATGTATTTTTTCCCTTCTCGTGGTCAGGGTCGTCCTTCTTCCTAACTATTTTGCTCTACTGCTTATAATTATTATCATTTGTTTATCTTTCCAGGTACGTCTGTGTTCCCAGCCGTGGTAGCAGGTGAGATGTGTGTGTTAAGTTACGTCATATTGCAGGTTCATATTAACACCATATTAACACTATATTAACACCCAGAAGCTGTAAGGTAAACAAACACCATCTTGACGTGAGTTTCCCACCATACAATGCCCCTCCCCCACATACACACACACACTAGCATCGGTAGCACCAGCCACGAGATACAATCAGCTCACACCCTCATACATGTCAATTACTCCCGACTTTGACTATTGTTATCAGTGCTTACGACTCCTGGATGAGTGTAGAACGTCCCAGGTCCTCGTCAGGACAAAGAGTGTGAAGATTATATCATACGGGATGTTGGGACGATGCCTTTGTCTCGTGTGGAGTGAGGACTGTTCAACCATGAGAAGTTGAGACCATGACAACCACACCATCTCCTCATGAGGCATAACAGTAATGCAGGATTAGCTATAAAACGAGTGAAGAAGTTACGTAAGATTAGCTAATAAACGAGTGATGAAGAATCAGTATAAAAATAGCCTAAGACAACGATACACGAGAAGAAATCAACAACGATAATGCAGTATTCGTTTTCAGTGTCGTAGTCGTGTCTGTTCGCGCCAAAAATGTAAATAAATAAACCACAACAAACAAAAGACTGGCGAACGTTCGTCTGGCGTAGCTACCATTAAATTGTTGTCATTACCGATTGCTGGTGCTGGCAGTGTATAAGATGGAGGGAGTGTTGACTCAAGCTAAACTCCTGTGTTGAAGGTTTTTGTTGTGGGTAACGGGACGCCTGTACATGACGCCCCGATACCTTGCCTTCGTCTGGATTCCAGTGAGCTGACGAGGAGACTTTCAACACACACACACACACACACTCTCTCTCTCTCTCTCTGTATATACTCGTGTATTTAGTACGGCTTAGATAGCGTCCGGATTATTGTGATAAATACCACAAGATTTTGGCAAACGGTTTTCACTATCATCTCTATTTGATCACTATCTTGGTCATAGGATTATTATGGTGACCCCGTTATTTGAGGTCAGAGGTCAGGGATCAGTTTAATATCTAACTTAAAGATAATTTTCCTGAGGGTTTCCCTTTCGATTTCGTTTTCCTGTTTCCTACAAGGGACAACTACGGAAGATGAGACCATTCAGGTTTGGTGGCTACAGCTCTTCAGAGACAGACTGTTAACAATGTAATCCATATTATTCACAATGTGTCCTCAACTTTCTCACGTCAGGAGGATTACGGTCACCTTAAGGTCACTTCCTCCAATGGTGGTAGTCTGAAAAAACGATGCAGTTTTCTCCTAAGTAGAGATATGAGACTACATTCAGTCCACTTACTCTATGGCTCAAAGATTAATTTTAAAAAGTTCGTACGTTGACTATCTTGTGGCTGGAAATGTATGAACGTATCTAACAAGTTCATTTGAACGTGGCACAAAGATGATCTGCTAAATGACATTCAAATAGTAGAATGCTGGTTAGCTTGTGTTAGGTTATGTGAATTAGAGCGAGTTACAAGTAAGCTTAAGTGGGGTTACATTAGGGTAAGAAAAAGTAGCTTAGGCTAAATATGTTAGCTTAGTTTTAACGTTGATTTACGTTGGGTTTGGTAGATTAGCTTAGGTTTAGGATATGTTAGGTTAGATTGGTTATATTAGGTTTAATAAAGGTTAAAGTACGTTAGATTAAGTACAATAAATAACCTTAAATTAGATAACGTATAAGTATACTTACTTAGGTTTAGGTTATGCTTGGATTAACTCTAAGGTACAAGAATGGTTCAGGTAAGGTTGGCATGTAAGGCGAGGAACACCAATCAAACCACGTCATACCCACAAACGAGTGAATTCTGTAATGTCACTATCGGGCGGACGAGACAGAACTCACCATCAATCCATTACGATATTTACCCAATTGACAAGTGATCTGATTCTTGTGTCTTTCTTCATGAACTTATCATCATTACTGATCTCACCAATCGTAAAGAAACGGAACCACCTGAAGATTAGACACCACATTTTGTCACTTAATGTTTAAACCAATGCTACCTTAGGGGTTAGGTTAGGTTAGGTTAGGTGCTGTGAGATGAGGTGAGGTTAAAGTTTGGATATTTAATCATCAGGTGAAATAAGCTGGGATGTCTAAGCTTCATGTAACCTGCAAATCATATCAACTATCTATCATGTTGTCGTCTGTCAGTTTAGAAACTATTTATTCAGTTGACATTTACAATAAGCGTAAAATTACTCTCCTGTGCAGTAACTGCCGCCCAGGGATTTTGCTGAGCTCGCACACGTTGATTCTATTTCTGTTTTTTATCGAACACAAAACTAATAAAAATAAACATGTGGGTAAAGAAAGAGGAAATATGTGAGGTAATCGAATGATGGACGTAGCAGGAACCTTCAGCTCTTGTGGGGGATACTGGCTGTTGAAGGCCGTGAGGTGAGGGGGTGGGGGAGAATGATGGTTTGGGGAGTGAGGGGGGTGGGTGTGTGTGATGGTTTGGGGTGTGGGTGAAGGTGTTGGGGGTGGGGACATGGTTTGGGGAGAGGGGTGGGGAGGGTGATGGGGTGGGGTGATGGTTGGGGGGTGGGTGAGGGGGTGGGAGGATGATGGTTTGGGGAGTGGGTGAGAGGGTGGGGGAGGGTGATGGGTGTGGGTGATGGGTGAGGGGTGATGGCATGGTTGGGGGTGGGTGAGGGTGGGGAGGGTGATGGTTTGGGGAGGGGTGAGGGGTGGGGAGGGTGATGGTTTGGGGGGTGAGGGTGAGGGGAGGGTTTGGGGGAGGGGTGAGGGGGGGGGGAGGGTGATGGTTTGGGGAATGAGTGAGGGGTGGGGGGGGTGATGGTTAGGGTGTGGGTGAGGGGTGGGGGGGTGATGGTGGGGTGAGGGGTGGGGAGGGTGATGGTTTGGGAGGTGAGGGGTGGGTGTGTGGGTGATGGTTGGGGGGAGGTGAGGGGTGGGGAGGGTGATGGTTGGGGTGTGGGGAGGGGGGGGGAGGGTGATGGTTTGGGGAGTGGGTGAGGGCGGTGGGGGAGGGTGATGGTTTGGGGGGAGGGGTGGTGTGGGGGAGGGTGATGGTTGGGGTGTGGGTGGGGGTTGGGGAGGGTGATGGTTTGGGTGAGGGGGTGGGTGTGAGGGGAGGAGTGAGGGGGTGGGGAGGGTGATGGTTGGTGGGGTGGGGAGGTGATGGTTTGGGGAGGGGGTGGGGAGGTGATGGTTTGGGGAGGGGTGAGGGGTGGGGAGGGTGATGGTTTGGGGAGTGGGTGAGGGGGTGGGGGGAGGGGATGGGGTGTGATGGTTGGGGGTTTGGGTGAGGGGTGGGGAGGGTGATTGTTTGAGGAGTGGGTGAGGGGTGGGGGAGGGTGATGGTTTGGGGGGTGAGGGGGTGGGGAGGGTGATGGGTGTGGGTGATGGTTGGGGGTGGGTGAGGGGTGGGGAGGTGATGGTTTGAGGAGGGGTGAGGGGGTGGGGGAGGGGGATGGGGGGAGTGGGTGAGGGGGTGATGGGGGAGGGGTGAGGGGTGGGGAGGTGATGGGTGGGTGATGGTTGGGGTGTGGGTGAGGGGTGGGGGAGGTGATGGTTTGAGGAGGGGTGAGGGGTGGGGAGGGTGATGGTTGGGGGTGGGTGAGGGGTGGTGGAGGGTGATGGTTTAGGGTGAGGGGGGAGGGGATGGGTGGGTGATGGTTGGGTGATGGTTGGGGAGGGGGGGGTGGGGGAGGGTGTGGGGTGGGGTGAGGGGGTGGGGGGGTGATGGTTAGCGTGTGGGTGAGGGGTGGGGAGGATGGTTTGGGGGAGTGGGTGAGGGGTGGGGAGGGTGATGGTTTGGGGGTGGGGTGGGTGATGGTTTGGGGAGTGGGTTGGGGTGGGGAGGGTGATGGTTTGAGGGGTGAGGGGGTGGGGAGGTGATGGTTTGGGGGGGGGGAGGGGGGTGGGGGAGGTGATGGTTAGGGGGTGGGTGAGGGGTGGGAGGGTGATGGTTTGGGGAGGGGTGAGGGGTGGGGGGAGGGTGATGGTTTGGGGAGTGGGTGAGGGGGTGGGGAGGGTGATGGTTTGGGGAGTGGGTGAGGGGGTGGGGAGGTGATGGTTTGGGGGAGTGAGTTAGGGGTGGGGGAGGGTGATGGTTTGGAGTGAGTGAGGGGTGGGGGAGGTGATGGTTTGGGAGTTGGTGAGGGGGTGGGGGAGGGTGATGGTTAGGGGAGTGGGTGAGGGGTGGGGAGGGTGATGGTTGTGGGGTGAGGGGGGGGGGGAGGGTGATGGTGGGTGAGGGGGTGGGGGAAGGGTGATGGTTGGGGGTGGGGTGAGGGGGTGGGTAAGGGTGATGTTTGGGGGAGTGGATGAGGAAGTGTGGGAGGGTGAAGTTGGACGTGTGGGTGAGGGAGTGGGGAAGGTGATGGTAATATTGGGTTAATTATGCGTGCACACGAAAAACAACTGAATTTGCCTAATACAGCAGTTTAGGTGTATAAGATTATGGGTTTGGGTGAACAAGACCATAGATTTGGGTGTACAAGACCATGGGTATGGGTGTACAAGACCATGGGTTTGGGTGTATAAGCTCATAAGGTTTGGGTGTACAGGATCATGGGTTTGGGTGTATTTTTAGCAGGCTCAACTGGTTATGACCTAAAAACATAAGCAAGTTTGCGGATGACACCAAAATAGGGCGGCAGATTAATTCAGGGCAGGATGCAAATGCACTACAGGAGGATCTAAATAAACTGCAGGGGTGGTCTGAAAAATGCCAAATGAAATTCATCACCAGCAAGTGCAGCGTACTTAATATTGGAAGAACAAATACTGTCAATGTATACAGCCTTAACAACAACTGCCTAGAGAAGTCGACTTGTGAAAGAGACCTAGGGGTACTTGTAAGCCCGGACCTACGGCCTAGAAAACAGTGCGTTAATGTTCGAAATAAGGCAAACAGAGTATTGGGTTTTATATCTAGAAGTGTAAGTAATAAGAGTGCAACTATATCTTGCGCTAGTCAGGCCGCACCTCGATTATGCGGTTCAGTTCTGGTACCCTTATTATAGAATGGATATCAATTCACTAGAGTCGGTGCAGCGAAGAATGACGAAAATGATTCCGGGACTTAGAAACCTTCCATATCAGGATTGGTTAAAGAAACTAAACTTGCATTCCCTAGAAAGACGAAGAGTGCGGGGAGATATGATAGAAGTATTTAAGTGGGTGAAAGAAATCAATAAAGGGGATATAGATAAAGTTCTTATAATATCCGAGCAGGATAGGACTCGGAGCAACGGATTTAAGTTGGATAAGTTTAGTTTTAGGAGGGAGATAGGAAGGAACTGGTTCACAAATAGGGGGGTGGACGAGTGGAACAAGCTTAGCAACTTTGTAGTAAGTGCTGAAACGCTGGAAACTTTCAAAAGGAGGCTGGATAGATTCATGGATGATAGAGAGTGGTAGTAACTCTCGACAGGAGCTGCCATGCACAGGCCAACCGGCCTATTGCAGACTCCTTATTTTCTTATGTTCTTATGATGGTGTCCAATATGGCGGAGATACTGTACTGAGACGCGACTCTACCTGGATGTGTTCTCTCATGTCAAATTAGCAAAAGAACTGACAAACAAGTTTCTGAGAATTCGGGTCTTTGGTTTTGATTCTCAGCCATTCATGAATTTAATGATTTTTTCTTTTAGTTTTCATTAGGTGAATTCAGCTCGTTGAGGTAGACTCTCAGCGTTATTTTGACCGCTATATTTTTGTCGCAATTAAGTGTGCCATATTATGGGAAAACTTTATTGAAAGATTAATGAGAATCCATTAATTTGTGAACCAATTATATTGAATCTCACATCTCCCGTTCAGAGTTATCTCAAGTGATATAAGCATTTGGGAATTCATCTTTATGTCTTAAATTAAATGATCCAAAAATAGGTTTTTAGCTCACCTGTTAACTAAAATACCGATTTCTCGAAAAAGAATGACCAGATTGTAATATAAAACCATTTAAAATCTGGGCATTTTTTTCGACGACCCACGTACTTAACCTTTGAGAATTATGTTGCCCGGCCGCTGGTGTTGTGATGCCCATTAAAAGTAATGAGCCACGACACAGGTGAGGACACTAGGGGTCTTATCAGCGGGTAACTTACACCTGCTGACCACCGCACCACACAACACGCTGGGGACGTGAACATCTTTGGAAAAATGTTGAAGAAAAAACTAATTATTGAAAGTGAGAAGTAAAACATTTTGTTTTTTGTTTGTTTTAAAACTGTGTGTGTGTGTGTGTGTGTGTGTGTGTGTGTGTGTGTGTGTGTGTGTGTGTGTGTGTGTGTGTGTGTGTGTGTGCCGTTCGTTTTACAGTGTTACTAACACCACTATCAATATCACCCACCATTACCCAAGCCACTAACACCACTACGTAAATTTACGAACCATTGAGAATCCATCCTATTTGCTGCGACCCAGATAGACTAACTCACAACACCAGTTAAAGAGAGAGAAAAATCGTACTAACCTTTAAGAATCCATCTTTATGCCTTAAGTGAATTTGGTGCGTCATCATATCACCAGTGAGTGAAAAAATAATTTAAGATTCTTTGAGAATATATCTTCGTCTCGTAGCTTAAGTAAACCAGTTTGATACATTCACAAGTAACCAAATAAGAGAAGAAATGAACGAACCTTTGAGAATCGGGGTCCCAAGTAGCCATTAAGTGACGAGACTGACCTTAGTAACGCGGTGACCCGAGACCTGTGATTGGTCGCTCCCACCATGGATGGTGTTGGACCAATTAGGAAGATGTACACGCTGACCTGTTGACTACAACTGCTGGTTTGTTTAATGAACGGTCATTTGAATATATATATATATATATATATATATATATATATATATATATATATATATATATATATATATATATATATATATATATATATATATATATATTTCATGTAGATCCACAATGAAAACGTGGATAAAATAAATATTGATAAAATCACACGGGAAAAGGGAAACAACGGAGCACCTTAGCCTTCGTCTTTATTCAAGACATCTTCAGAGGCAACCTTAGCTTACCTCTCTCTCTCCCTCCCTTTGTCTTTCATTCATCAAGTCCGTCGAGCTGCGTCACCTATCAAATTTGCCTGCCCCCTTATTAGTGCCCAGAACCTCACCTTAAACCACGTGGGATGACATTATAGTAAGTCACGTGGAGTAACACTATATTAAACCACGTGGTGTAACACTATTAAACCACGTGGGGTAACACTATAGTAAGCCACGTTGAGTAACACTATATCAAACCAGGTGGGGTAACACTATATTAAACCAAGTAGGGGCAACACTATAGTAAACCAAGTTGGGTAACTTTATAGTAAACCACGTGGTGTAACACTATATTAAACCACGTGGACTAATGCTATTTTAAACTACGTGGGGTAATACCACGATAGACAAA